AGGACATTGGATCGACCTGGTACGGTCCTCGTCAGATGGTTCAGGACTGCGGCAAACTCAGCATGAAAGTGATCGATCATTTGCACTTGCACGAGTTTAACGCGACTGAAAAGTCGGATGAGTACGCCAAGGTTCGAGTGACCGGCTGGCCTCGGTGGCACTATGGCGTGCTGACCATGTACTCTGGTCACTTGGCCATTCCAAGCTGCACCAACGCCACTGGCTTTGACAAGCGAAACGACTTGCTCGACTTTCCCACGTTTTCCAACGACAGCGTTGCCAATCATGCCCATCTTCACGCCTGGCAAGATTTCATCTTCTTCTCGAAATTTCATTTCCGACGAGGTGATTACAACCACATGCAACTGCACGACCTGAACCTGAACAAAGTCAGCGAATACGCTACCTTTATGGCTTTAGTCGCCACTAGACGGTACAAGCTGGCCATAGACAATCGCTGATCTTATATAGCATTTTCTGAATTGACAGATTGGCAGACATGGAAGTATAATAGACGGGAGTAGTCGTTACTACCTGTGTCCGGGAATATTTGCATGATTCAGAATATATGGAAAACGAAGGTGAACAAATTACTACGTAGAATACTATGGAACAAAGTATATCGGATTGTAGCGTTCAACCAGGAGAACACTGATCAAACGAATTCGCCCCAAAATTGAACCAATCAAAGTAGCAAACTGAGTTGGAAAGTTCGATACTTCAAGTACAAAAGATTATATGATATGGTCAATTTTACTCCACGTCCGTATCCGAAAATCTGGTTCCGGATAATACGGATACTATCCGTACACAGACCTTGATATCGGGTCTGGAAGCGAGCCAATGTCACGATGCATGACACTCGTCGTCCATCCGGTGATGTCGCTTCCCATCGAAAAGGTCGTTGTGGACGTAAGTTCAAACATGAATCGATTGCGGAGCGGCTGCGCAACGTGCCCAAAGCGAGACGGACTGCGTTTCGGTCTATTGCGGCGGCCTTGCACATCTCCCGGTCGACGCTACATGATTACTGCAAGCGGGGTATATTCGTCAAGTACAAGAGCAACATCAGGCCAGCCCTCACGGAGGCCAACAAGGCCGTACGTCTGAAGTGGTCCTTGCAGCATGTCCATGCAAGCAACGCGGACTTGTTCAACTTTGAGGACATCATGAACGTCGTTCCCGTGGACGAAAGTCAAGAACAAGTACTACCTGGAGCCGGACGAGGAGCCACCACACCGCACCTGCAAGTCGAAGCGTCTCATTACAAAGGTGATTTTTTTGTCGGCCGTCGCACGGCCGCGGTGGGATGAACGGTCAAAATCGTGGTTTGATGGCAAGATAGGTACGTGGCACTTCACTGAACACGTCCCCGCTCAGAGTGGATGTCGCAATCGACCAGCAGGCACTCTTGAAAGCAAGCCAGTCAGTGTCACGCGTGTAGTCGACAAGAAGATGCTGATCGAACAAGTGATTACAGCTATAAAAGCAATGTGCCCGGGTGTTGTGACAGACCTGGTGACCATCCAGCAGGATGTTCCCCCATCTGACGCTGACATCGTGTCTGCTTGTACCAGTGGTGGTTGGAACATCCGAGTCGTCTACCAGTCGCCCAACTCGCCTGACCTCAACGTGTTGGATCTTGGGTTTTTCCGTGGCATCCAGTCAATCCAGGAGAAGAACCACTCGCGGCGTGTCGACGACATCGTTGCTGCAACGGAGGCTGCGTGGCTCGAAGTTGACAAAGAAACGTTGAATTTCAACCTTTGACGCTACAGGCTTGCATGCAATAAGTCATTCGAGCCTCAGGTAACAACCATACCGTATTCCGCACATGAGGAAGGCTGCGCTTGCTCGCCAAGGCATGCTGCCTGAAGTGGTTGTGGCGGAGAAGGACGCCATCGAGTCAGGGCTTAGGCTTCTGAGTGCTACTGATGTTGACTTCCTCCAGGTTATGTGTGTGACGAACTCAAAGGTTTGGAGCGCTTTCTCTCTTGGCTCTTACTTTGGAAGTGATTAACCTACGTGTCCATGCGATCTTTCCGGTGTGCTAACCGGTTTTCTCTTCCGAATGTATGCAACATGTAACCGCATCATGGGCAGAAACCACAACAGCCTCCCATGCCCATGAATGCCGTCGCGGTCTTCAACTTATCCTTGGACACGTGCTTGGTAAAGACGTCCGCCGGCATGACATTGGTGGGCAGGTGCGTCAGTGTGAACTTGCCGCTCTTGACCAAGTCCCGCAGAAAGTAGAA